CATAACTTTACCTGTGCTTTTGTGTGCTGAATCTGACCATGCAGATAACAGAACCCATGATGAAAAACATCAGAATGGGGTCTAGGAGAATATACTGGGACAGGGTGATGCACCCGGTGTCTGTTGTCAAACACACCAGCCAATACAGATTTAGATTATCATCGTGATCATTCCTTGCATTTTGCTCCTGACCCAAGCTATAAACTCACCAAAGATGAGCAGAGAGGCTGCAATGAGCGCCGCTGGAGATGAGTGGGAAAGCTCCAGAACAATGAGGTAGGCAAAAGGCGGAAGACAGGAACCAAGAGCTGCACAGAACTAAACAAAGGAGTTGATTTACAAAATAAAATGATTTACAAAGTAAAACAGGATATGTTTTACTTTGTACTGCTCATAAATGTCCAGTATAAAGAATATAGTGAATTTTACATCAAAAACATTGTGTATTTCAATAAACAGACATTGGATGATAAATCCTTCATTCAGTTTGCCTGGTTAGGTGTCTCACTCAGCTCCCGTCATTGTGTGTGTCTGTAATTATCTCCATTTAGCAACAAGACACGTGTAGGTATAGCTCGGCTTTCTCACCCAGTTTTGAGCATCCAACCAGCATTCAACAGTCTCTTTTAAAAATGAATCTTGTGTAAAATCAACACAAATGTGTTCTTCCAAACACTGGCTCGCTCCTTGTTACCCATAGGCTTTTTGCCTAGAAGAATTTGAATTCCTCAATGCCAACTGGAATAAAGTGAGATTTACCGCTCTCATTCCCCAGTAGTTGTGCTGCTCATATCTGTCTCCTGGTTTTATGAAAGGAAAGGAGCCATCATAACCCGTCAGGTATCCAGCTAGCCCAATCAACATCTGAATGAGAGAAATAATAATAATAAAAAAACTCACAGCAAACTGCCAGTTATTTTGGCGCAAACATGAGCATCCATAAGCTTACCTTCCCAAGAGGTGGGTGGACATCAAAGAAGAAGGTACGGTTAATGTAATAGCTTCCCATTTTCCCGAAATGAGTCTCATCCCAACTGTGAAAAGTCCATAATGTTTACAGAAAAACTGATTATAGATCTCAGATTCTAGATCATTCTTTCAGATTAAGATTATTCTTTCTACACAAACTCACCAAACGTGAGGAGGTTCCGTTATCTTGTAAAAGCGTGTACATACAGACAGCACAAGCACCAAAACCAATGCACAACCAGGAACATCTGCCTCTCTCCTGGAAGAACTGAGGTGCACTCTTCTTTTGGGCATCCCATTGTAGGTCCAGTTAAAATGTTTGGAAAGACTCTCTGTGTTCTCGTTTACCTTACATGGCTTTCGATATTTTACAGCTGACACGTCTTGTCTTTGTGTATAAGGCTCCTCCGATCTGGCGTCCATTAGAATGTTTATTTACGTTCAATGCAACAACGAGTGATTAACGCTAGCATCACCACAGCAGACACGAGACATCTAATCATCACGGGGATTTAGGTGTCGTATTAAATATAACGTGAATTATGTATTATTTAATATACACAATAAACTCATATCATGCTGTTGTCCACAACACTGTTGTAGATTGGTGGTTTGGGAATTTTCGGGAATGTCTGCACTTGGCTGGCCTCTGCTGGTCAGGAGAAGGAGCTGCAACCACTGTTGCAAAAACATGGATATACCAGAACAAACCAGGTTCGTTTTATGGAAAAATTCCAAATTTTTTAATAATCAGAATCGTGGTTTATTGGCATGTAATGAAGACGTTTTCTATATTATTTGGAATTTGCTTCAGTTAGTACATACAAAGAGATATAACATAAAAACAAACTATATAGAAACAAATCGGGTTCTTTGACTCAGAATCATAAGAAGACCTTTTTGGTGCTATTTAACACTTCAAAGGTGGTATTTAGAACCAATCATCAAATGCATGAAAAACATTAACTTTGGCATGATAAATCAGCATCTTATATAGAAAATTAAAAATAACTACTTTAGAACCACAAGTACCAATAAATTCATAAGTTTTTTTCAAGCTAACAAAGTGCTATAATAGTATTTCGAAAACCACAAAGAACAGGTGAAGAACCAAAAAGAGCTTACTGGGCTCCTTATTTAATGGGTTCTTTATAGCAGAAAACCACCAACCATTCGGTCAAAGGACAACCAACTCCACCACTATGCCACTTGCTGCCCCAACTATTGATTTTATGTTACATTACGCTTATGATGTCACAAAGCTAAGTGTATAACCCATGACTCTTGTCTTGCTGAAGACTTTCAAAAAGCATTACCTTGCCTCTGGTCGTCATCTGTTGAATCTGTTTACCAAGCCATCTTTTACATGAATGGGTTTTATTATTATTATTATTATTATTATAAGAGGCTAAATATCAATCCGCACATAAAAACATAGGAACAAAGTGACAAAATATTTATTTTAATGAGGAGTGCATAACAAAGCATAAATTAACATTGTTTTAATCTGCATGTTCGTGCTAATCAGCCAAAAAACTTATTACTGATTTGCGATCCAAATATTTCTAAAACTCCATCAGATGAGTGTAGGGTCCATTTGTATCCAGCGTCAGTACTTGTCTGTTTCCATACGTTCCATGTTTCAGCTCAGTATGAGGGTCACTGTTTGTGCAGGCAGACAGTTCACTTTGGCAGTGAGACACAAAGCTCTCATAGAGTTTCAAACCTTCATCTTTTCCAATGTTGCCATGGTACTGCATTCCTTTCCCTTTTGGTTTTCCTCCAAGAGTGGCTTGTGGTACTATGAGAACACTGCCAGGAAGCTGGAGAACAGAGGTTAACTTTCCTGCCTCTGTCTCACAAAGTTTCATGTTCAGCAGTGTGTTCACTGAAGAAGATGTAACAAAAGTTGTTCATTCACCTTTATGTCAGAATTCTACGATATAGTATACTTTGGTGCAAATGTGAGTTTCCATACCCATTTTGGGGATTAGGTCTTCAGCTGCCCCTTTGAAGAAGCAGATGTAGATAACCATTCCTCTGTTAATCTAGATAACCAAGAATACAAATGTTACAATTATTAAAGAATCAGATTAGCATTATCACTACGCATCTAATATTAAGTTACCTCAACCCATTCAGCTTGATTCTCCCCATCAGGAGGTTTGACTTGCAGTTGAGCGTGCAAACACTGCTGGAGAACCACACGCGCCTTTATTTCGTTCTCCGTTCTCTCGGACATTGAAGTTAATTTACGCTAAATCCTAGATTTATTACTAAAGTTAATAATACAAACGACGTATTTTCGTAAATGACACACAAACGTGTTTCAGAAATGAACTTCGGAACTACAAAACAAGGGAATCCACTTCCGTATAATGAAGACCCAAACAAATTACGTCATCAGTAGGCGACTATGCGACGCAATATAGCAACTGTTGTTGTCAATTGACTTTATATACAACGGAGAAAAAGTCGTTGTAATAAAGCAAGGAATTGCTGATATCTAAACCCTTAATAACAGGTGTCACGTGAAAACTATTTGGATAAATATAAACTTTGATTTGATTTAGGAAAAACCCAAGAAGCTTCAAAATGGTTAAAATACATCACAGCTACAAGAGGTTTTTACAAATGTACCGATTTTCCTCAGATATGATACGAACACCTATATTGGCAAAGACTTGTATTCCATCACATAGAAACACACATGAAGTTCGTTTCAAGGTAAGTAGAGCTTTGTGTTCCTATGCTTTCTGTTTTTAACTAAATAAATAAGCTTACACTTTCCGTCAAACAAATTAATGAAACATTTAACTTAATTCCTATTGGTCAATTGCCCCTTTTGGGTAAATACACGAGAACGTTGGTTCTTGTGCAGGGTTTAGCATTTGTTACCACATTATCACAATTTATCATAAATAAATGGTTAACATCTGCTTAGTTGATCTTAGTTTTTTTTAGATCATGCATGGAATTATAACACACATGTGCTTTTATTATGGTCTGTTCAGACATCAACCTCTGGTGATCAGGCTCTGCAAGAGAGGCAGAGGCAGCATATGGCAAGAGGTCTACCCAAACAGAAGCCCATCGCCGGGGTCAAACAGGTTATAGTTGTTGCATCAGGGAAAGGAGGAGTGGGAAAGTCCACCACAGCAGGTTAATTACTTTTTAGTACATTTTACTGTATAAATAACCCAATTTATTTCAGACACTCATTTAGTTTAATGTCTTCACAGTGAATCTTGCTCTTGGACTCATGGCAAATGATCAGGTGATGTGGATTTGCAACCCTGTTTAAATATAGTGATTGCTTTGTTTATTTAACCCTTTCAGCCACAGTTTCCAAAACATTTGTATTTTTCTGTTTCTTCTAACAGACTAAATCAGTGGGGCTTCTAGATGCCGATGTCTACGGACCCTCAATTCCCAAGTTAATGAACCTGAAAGGAAACCCTGAACTAACAAACAGTGAGTATTGCTTCCGTATTCACTTCATAAACTAAATTTAGTTTTCCTATTTATGGTTATATTCACCATTTATTTATCTTAAAGGTGCCATATTATGCCATTTATAAAGCAATTATAATAAATACCTCTCTACTAGCACTGCATTGTTAATAACTTTCTAAATGCAATATTAATCATAAAAAAATAACTATTGTTTGTTTGGTCTGACTAACCCTGCTGACTAACTAATTTATATTTTAAATTACTGGATTACTTTATAATTGAGAGAAAACCCACTCTCTCAGTATTGTTCTTCAGTGCGGGTCTCACAAAAAAATATAGATTTACACAAACATGCATAAAAGATTCTGCATAAAGCATGAGTCCTGCTTTGGCCGCCTTTCCCCCTGCACCCAGCTCCTTTGTCTCTCACTGTCTTTCCCCAATCCAGCATTGCATTTAGCTGTTAGCATCTTCAGTATTTATGTTAAATAAAGGCAGACATGGGAAGTAACAATTAATGACAACATTGTGTTTTTAATCCCTACATTTTTATTATAAAATATCTGTACTTTTTACCTTTCCTGTGGCTCAGTCAGCAGAGCATTGTGCTAGTAAAGCAAATGTTATGGGTTCAAAGCCCAGGGAAAGCAAGAGGTGGGGAATTGTGTTGATTCTTTGAAATGTTAGTTGCTAAATAAAAGGGTCTTCTGTAATGTGTTATGAATTAATATTCAATAACAATGGTTACCAGTACCTATATAATTCCTGAAAGTTTTTTTGTGGTTGTGCAGTTGCCTGGCAACCATTGGCCACCATTGGTTACATATGAATCTCAGTCATAACTAAAGTAAATGATGGTCACTGACTGGACTCTAATGCACATGTACCATGTATTCTTTAGTGTGAGAACTGAGAGATTTCAAAGCATCTTTGATCAAGTTGATGGTGACTACAAGTTCATTCTGTGTCTGTGTGAAACGTGTCAGTTCATAATCTTTGATATTTTCTAAACCATTCATTCAGAAAACCTAATGAGACCACTCATCAATTTTGGGATACCTTGGTAAGTGCATGTCCTTGCTAATGTTTTTTTTTTTTTTTTTTTATAAAATACCTTGCACCTAATCTCTTTGATTTGTGCTTTATTCTTACTAATTGCTCTCTTTTCCTTCACAGCATGTCGATAGGTTTTCTGGTTGAAGAAATGACTCCTATTGTGTGGAGGGGATTGATGGTCATGTCTGCTATAGAGAAACTCATAAGGCAGGTATGCAGTCAGCCTTTGCAAATTGCTAAAAGATTTTGTCAAATCTAAAAATTGTGTTTCATGTTCTCTTTTTTTGTCTCTTAAACTGTGATTCTTTACACAATTTGTACCATTCATCCTGCTCTGTCTTCAGGCTATGAAAATAATGCAGTTATCTCAGTAATGAGGCAGTTACCTCAAAACTTTCAATTGTTATTTTACCAAATGTTTTTTAGGGGTTTAAGCACGAAACCAAACAGTAAGGCCTAGAAACTTGGGCAAATGGTAGACCACAATTCGGGGAGAGGTTGTCAGAATATGAACCCAATCAGCCAATAGGTGGCGTATGTAGTTGTAACTCCTAGACCATCATCCGTTGCATGGAATCTGATTTAATTTCTGCCCTCCGGATTTCAGATTTTGCAGACTAGTTTTTAATTTGTTTTTGTAGGTAGACTGGGGTAACCTGGATTACCTTGTGATTGATATGCCACCTGGTACTGGAGACGTCCAGCTGTCCATCACTCAAAATCTTCCTATTGCAGGCAAGTAAATTAATGCAAAGGCTGATGAAAAGTGCATGTAGGATTTTCTTAGCATCAATTTCTACCCAAAAGAAGACAGAACGCAGCATTCTTTTAGTCTCTTGTGCGGTTCTGTTAGATGGGAGTTTATTTGGTGTTAAATGTCAGATCTTATTCAAAAGGTTTTTAACACTGGCAAAATAAGTCAGTGATTCCACATTTTTTGTTGAGTTTAGCTTTAAATGTAAATATATTTTAACTCTAATTTCCTATTATTCCATCATTAGAACAGATTTCAGCGCCGGGGTGTTGTATTTGGAAAAGTTTTACCTGTATGTCCCACATGAGGATATTTAAATTATATCTTTAAGTGTTCTTGAAAATTAGAAATGTATATATATATGGAAGAGATTTCTTTTTAACTTAAAATTTCCTGATTTGTTTTTCATCTCAGGAGCTATAATTGTGTCTACACCGCAAGACATTGCCTTGCTCGATGCAAGAAGAGGTGCTGAAATGTTCCGAAAGGTTAAAGTTCCGGTACAGAATATATATATGTTTTTAATCCCTTTTTTACCTTCCATTTGTCTCTTAAACATTTTGAAAATATTTCAATGAAAATAATTAGCACCATTCATAAATCTTAGCACTATTAATCCTTACAAAGACCAAAAGAGTTGTCAGTGAACAACTTGCTGGCGAATAGTAATGTCTGTTTTTAATTGAAAATGTTATCCTTTCAGGTGCTTGGTCTGGTTCAGAATATGAGTGTTTTCCATTGTCCCAAATGCAATCATCAAACTCATATTTTTGGCACAGATGGGGCCAAAAAGTTGGCTGAAACGCTCGGTGTTGAGTTGCTTGGTAAAGCCCTTTTCTCAAACACGTGTACAACTTTCAAAATTAACCTTTTTTTTACACTTTTAAAGTAAGACACTTGATTTGATTTTATTCTGTGTGAGCCAATGTTTCTCTTCACACCTTCCAGGTGACATTCCTCTTCATCTCAACATTAGAAAGACATCAGACACAGGACAACCTGTTGTTGTATCATCTCCAGAGAGCCCAGAGGTAAATGACTCACATTTTATATGTTATAATGCTGTAAATAAGAAAAACAATTGGAGTTTTAATCATTTATTTAAATGGAACCTTTGTCTAGGAGAGACTTTGTTGATGCAGTATAACTAGCTTGTGTCTTGTTGCTGTGCTCAACGTTGCTATGACACTAAACTGTCTCTCCACCTCACCTTGGTAGCAGAGTTTGGCCTTTCCTCACCCCTTTTCAAGCTTCCTACAAAGCTGTTTCAGTTAATGATCGGGTTTCAACTTTCGTGTGACACTATTTTAAAGACATTAAAAACAAGTATTCAGTCAAAGTTTTCCTAAACTAATATTGGATCTACATTTATGAACTTCTATATTTTATTTTGTCTGTTTTGCAGGCTGAGGCGTACAGGAGAGTTGCAGCAGCGGTCACACAGCGATTAGCAGAACAAACAACCAATTAAAGTTCATGGTTAAAGTTAATTTTGAATAGAATGTCATTGTTGTGTCTTAAATCTTGTATACCCCTTTTAAACGGATATTACTTATATTTAAATATATGTAAGATGTTACTTATCTTACTTATATTTATATGTTTGAAATCTAAATTAAATATGAATTACCAAATATTAATTGTGAAAAAAATATTTTTTCTGGGAATGTTTAAGCTTGCATCAATTTAAATCCTTATATTATTTATAAAATTTTATATGAAGTTCCTGACATGTTAACTCTTGTGTCAGTACCACATAAAGTTTATATTAACGTGTTTACAATAGAAGCAATTCTGACACCCCGAGGAACTAAATTCCACATCCTCACAAAATCTTTTCTAATTAAACCTTTTTGTTAAACCATCAAGTACAAAGGCATTTAGATAAAATGGTCTAAAAACATATATCAGTCATGTTGGTTATTATTAGCTAGTGTAGTAAACCATCTTGTTCATTTAGCAAAAAATTAGCATTATTAGCTTGAACGGGTGGTCTTTTTCCAAAATGTTGGCTGTGGGGTAAATAGAGCCAGCAGTTCAACCTACCCTACCTTGAGTAAATACTTATTTTTCCATAAAAATAATAGGTCTTGAGCCAATAGGTCTACATTTTCAGAAATTATAATTAGAAAGATTTTTCTTGTAACTTTAAATTACTTTTATACTGTAAAAAACATTGTAGCAGTCATGTTGAGTACATAAAAAAGGAAGACAATCTAGACCTCGAAGGGAGATTTACCAGGATCAATTTACCGGTAAGGTGGGGGAAATTGAGCCATTGCACTTTTTTTTTAATCAATAATTTTTATGTTGGCTTGTCACAGACCTCCAAGGTGTTCTGACCAGACTTGATGCATCTTTTTAGACTGGTAGCACAACTGAATTCTGAAAAATTTCTATTGCTTAGTCTGGGGTCAAACTTTGCGAAGCTGTAACACAAACTGAATTACAATTTAAGCACTGTGAAAAAGTATTTGAACCCAAGGCTTTAAGAGGGGTCAAAAGTCACTCTTTACGTATAATGGCCATTGAGAGTAAATGGGAAAGGGCATCAAGATGGAACATCACTGAGAAACTTAATTTTTTTATGACATCACAGATCAATCCAAAGCGAACTAAACTCTTTCCAATAGCAACCAAATACATAGAACTCTTTGTAAGAGTCAGTTTACCCTTGCAGTTTGTACCACAGAGGCTGAATTGGGGAAGGTGCAGGATTAGTGCCACATCTCAACATTCAATGGAATCGATTGAGGCAGTATTTTCTAAAATGGAGATTTTCTCTCTTAACAGAATTCAACTAGGTCTTGACCACAAGATGGCGTCGGAAACCTAAATGTTGAAAGGACCGAGAACGATACACTTGTACTCTACTTGGATTTACACCCCGACAGACTTGTCCTACACTTTGACACAATGCAACTCTTTTGTTGCAAGCCAAGGCTTAATGAGACTGACATGAAAGCGTGGGCCGCAACCTGAATGTTTGCATCAGATACCTGTTCCCTGTCCTCAACTGAAATACTGCTGGTCTGACACTGTTTATCATCCACATTTTGGATTCATTTAGTCTCTTTTAGTTAACTGTTCCCAGAAGACTGACCACCATTTGGACAATATAACACCCCCTAAATATCAACACTTTAAAAAGAAAGCATTTCTAAGCCTACTCTGCAGTCACACCTTGTCAAGCCTTCTTTTAACCAGATGTGAAATCCACCAACTTTGTTTGGAGTTAAATGTGGAGTTTTACAAGCAATGGTTCAAAGCAGCTGAAAATATTGGCTTGTTTTGAGGATGAATACAAGCATTAACATGATTGAGCTTGTTTTGGGCAATCCCCAGTTGGTAGGAACTCATGGTTGTAAATGCAGACTTTGCCCCTTGTGGTACATGTGGCTTACAGCTTCTGTTTCCCAGAGCAATGGAGAAAGTCAGTGGTAAATAGGGACAGAGAGCAGACTCTGACTCACAAGCAGAAATGTTAAAGAGGGCATGAACTGACAACAAAAAAGTACAGTGAAGGTTTCGGGGCTTAATATGTTTTTGTTTAAAAAAAATTACAGCAGTGACGAAGTGAGATCTACATGACATGCAGACCTTGGTTCTCGTCTGGTAGTGACAGGATACACACAGCTACACCTTCACTCCTGCTAATTTCATCAGTCGGTTAGTTGGTTGTTTCATAGATTGATTGACTCGTAAGATACACACAAGGATTAAAATTAGATGCTCTGTTCTAAGATGGACAGCTAAAGACAACAGTTGCACCTGCAATCAGAGCCTATTCTAAAAAAAGACCATATCGTTTTTTAAATTTTTTTTATTTTATAGAAGATT